CTTAGACATGTTATACAGCTAATCTCAGCCTTTAAAAAGGGGAAATAAAATGAAGCCCCTTAGCTTTTTTTCTTTGTGAAGCCCCCCGGTCTAGTCTACAGATTGTAGGTTATTTATGGTCCTTTGCACAGTTGCCTAGAGCTAGTATTTGGTGTCTGTGAAAATTATAGCCACATGTCCCTTTATTTTGTGGAGGCCCCGTGAATTTTTCATGGCTATTGGGGCAAAGCTGTGTGAGATGATATTAACGACAGCTTTCTCAGCTATCTGTATTTGAGCTACTTTCTCTGATCAGAATCTCTTTCACTGTGGATTTGTCTACATAGCACCCTAAACTCGAAATAGGATACACAATTTGCACTATGCAAATTGCGTATCTTATTTCGAGTCTATTTCAAAATAGGCTATTTCGAGCCATCCCTTAACCCTCGTGCAATGAGTTTACAAGAATGGTGAAATAGCGCGCCCGTTATTTCAAAACATATTTTGAAATAACGGGTCCATTTCTAAGACGTACGGTAGCTATTTCAAGATACTTCGGTATGTCAAAATCTCTCCACTGTGTAGATGTCTGGCCTCAAAAAGGAATAACTCATTCGACAAGATGTGGTCCAGTGGCTAGGGTCCCGGAATCGAGAGAAGAGACTTCAGTGTCCTAATTCTGAGTCTTATATGGGCTTCTCCTGTGGCCTTGGTCAATACACTTAGAATCTAGATAAAAATATTTAAAAATGCCTCTACACAAGGGTGAATCCAGTTTTGAATGCTTAAACTCAAGATGAAAAATTGCTGTGTTTCATTTATTGCCTCTGTTCTTTTGCCTGGTCCTGTCCCCTCCAGTCTTTCTAGTTTTTATTCATTTCACTTCTTTCTCTCAAAGTAAATGTAAGGGAGTGTCAATCAAATATAATTATTATATTTATATTTGCTCTTGCTGTTAGAAGTCTTGTTCATCTTCAGCTTTCACCAGCTGCTCATGTTTGGATCTATTTTCTATGCATGAAAATGGTCAACTACCGGCAATGACAGTAAAAGATAAAATCTTAATAACTCAGATGCTGCTTTCAGAACAAGTCATGGGATTTTATGACTTGTGGTCAACTGGGATGCTCTATACAGCACAAGCCCTCTATCATCTTATTGCTGGCAGTCCATCCAACCCACACTCGCTAGCTTCCTTTGTATTTATTTATTTATTTGCCATTGAGAGTGGAGATTGGGAACGGGTGAGCCCTGGATAGGGAAGATGGGTGTCTCTAAAATTATGAGAGCTTAGGTTTAAAGCACAACTGAGAATCATGACTCCACCGATTTTTTCTGCCCTGGATTTTCTATGATGGAACTGGTCAAGCTGACTCCTGTCTTCCCATGCATAAAATAATAATAATATTTGTTTCTGCCATGGATTTGGTGAAGCTACATTGTTTGCAAAGTCCTTTGAGATTCTCAGATGAGATACACTGTGAATTTGCAAAGAAGCATTATTAGTTATGATGTTGAGACTGGCTGATGACTGAATAGAACTGGCCAATGTCTTTGAGAGAAGACTCTCCCATGGATAAAAAGTCTCATGTGTGAAGGTGGTCACAGTATCCTTCCTGGTTCCTCTGACCACTGGCATATGACCACCTATGTTTTAACATTCTACCCGTATTTCAAGGGACAAGATGACAAGGTTTTAAATAACTGTGATTTAAATCAACAGGAAGGGTCCCCCAAATGACAACTTATTTGATGTCAATGGAGTTATACCAGTCTAAAGGCATTGCAAATGAGGGCAGAATGATGATCCTCCATCTGCCAGCTGACAGTTTTTGAACAGATGGAACATTTCATAATTTCACAACTCCTCCCTTACTCCCAATATCATAAAAGGAAAAGGAGGAGATAACAGCCATTTCCAGCCAAGAGGCTTCTCATTCAACTTCTGAGAGAGTTCAGACTGGCAAGTGTTGAGGATTTGGATAGTATAGGGACTCCCATTAATCACGCTGATAATGCATGTAGATTCATGCCATTGAAACCATATCATTAAGCAGCTACTCGGAATTTAACAGTATGTGCCTCAGGAAGCCTTGTGTGATTTCCATGTGTTTATTAGCTTGCACATACATGTCTAGAGAAACCGGAGTAGTTCTGTTGTTTTTACACTGGTAGGCAGAGTGTATGGAAAATCAATCCAAGGCATACTTGGAAGTGTGCCTTCATATATTTTTGTAAATAAATCGTTCTGTGGAGTCATTTTCAATTGCTAGAAGAGGTTGGGAAGGATTAACTAGTTCAAAAAGCAGATATTTGGAAGCAATTTCTCATCTTGCTGCAGTTGCAGTGCCCACATTGCACACTAAATCAGATCAGTGGAAAAACTGGACCGCAGTTTTTTTTTTTTTAAAGTTACATATTTAACTTTCATGCACAAATACCAGAAAGTAAAATAAATATTGCCAATGACAGAATAAATATTTCATCCCGCAGAATATAAGTACACTGTACTTACAATGTCCTTATTGTCTTTACCATATTTGCCAATAAAATAATTGAACAGGGGAAATGAATAGCTGTGTAGATTAATAATGGACTATTTAGCCTTTCACTTGCAGACCGCAGGGTCCACAACAGTCCTGGACAAGCACTGACAGAAGTGTGTTATTAGAAATAGCCATCAGTGTATGCCTGGACTGTTGTTGCTTAGGGTTCTGTCACTTTGAATGTTCACCCTTTTACTATTCTTGATCAAACCCCCACCCACTAGTTGGCCCACTGTGCATTTTTATGCCCCCCATTTATCTTGGAAGATAAATCTGGGGTGCCAACACTCCACGGTCTTCAAGTGAGAAATAGACTGTTCCTGCTAGATGCCTAGAATATGCCAGTGACCTAGAGATGGAAGGTTCTGCCTATTGTATCCAATTCCTCAAAACTAGCCAGTGAACTGGAAAAAACCCACCAGTATGTCATCCATCAGAGTAAGGAAAAATTAGGCTGAGAAGGCTTTGGATTTATAGAGTATGCATTACTGCCTTTTAGTACACTTCACGATGGCTATGTCTACACAGCAGGGTTATTTCAAAATAACTGGTGTTATGTCGAAATAACAAAGAGCGCCTCTACACTACAAGCCTTTATTCTAAAATAATGTCAAGCTGGAGGATTTCTTACACCAACTCCTGTAACCCTCATTTAACAAGAAGTAAAGGAAGTAAAAGGAAGAGCATTCTTCCTTCGACTTCCTGCTGTGTAGGGAGCGCCAAAAGCTGAATTAAGCTATTTTGACTTAAGCTATGCAATTGACGTTGCTGAAATTGCGAAGCTTAATTTGACTTCAGCCCTGCTGTGTAGATGTACCCTATGATATGATAAGGCCAGCACAGAGTTGGGAAGGAGCTGTAAATGAACAAGAACAGAAAAATCTCTGTCAACCCTACAGGCCAGAAAAAGGCACTAAAAATGATTACGGGTTTATAATGGGTCCCATATGAAGAGAGATTAAAAACACGTGGACTTTTCAGCTTAGAAAAGAGGGGACTAAGTGGGATATGAGAGAGGTCTATTAAATCATGACGGGGTGGAAAACGTAAATAAGGAAAAGTTATTTACTTGTTCCCATAATATAAGAACTAGGGGACACCAAATTAAATTAACAGGTAGCAGGTTTAAAACAAACAAAAGGAAGTTTTTCTTCACTGTCAACCTGTGGAACTCCTTGCCAGAGGATGTTTTGAAGACTAGGAGTTTAACAGGTTCAGAAAAGAGTGAGATAAATTCATGGAGGTTAGGTCCATCAATGGCTATTAGCCAGGATGGGTAGGAATGGTGTCCCTAGCCTATGTTTGTCTGGAAATGGATGTCAGGAGAGGGATCAGGTGATCATTACCTATTGTTTTTACTCCCTCTGGGCCATCTGGCACTGGCCATGGTCAGCAGACAGGATACTGGGCTAGATGGGTCTTTGGTCTGACTCAGTATGGCCATTCTTATGTTCTTATGGCCAAAACCCTCACATAACCTTTCTTCTGCCTTTTAGTGAAAAAGCTCTGACATCTGGATAGCTTTAGTAGGTAGCCAAGAGGCAGAACAAGAGTATAAGATTTTTGCAGTCCAAACTTGTCTTTCAAAAATGCCAAGGGAAACAGGGGAAAACACACACACATATGCAGGAAAATCGGGACCCAATAACAGATAACCAAGTTTTAAGTGCTATTAAATACAAAATGATGTTTAAATAACATAAAAGCTGTGAAACAAGCCTATGCAACCCAGTGTATTCTCTCTGAGTTCTCTCTGTTACACCTTTAATTCATACCATTCTGAAGCTTCGACTTTTCATTTTCATAGATTGTGTCTAATTTGTGTCCAAATATTAATCATGTGTTTTGGGTTTATATCATTCACTTACTATGGTTTTTTTCCTTCTTTTCAAGCATTTTTGTAGAAAAGGTTATTAATGGCCTGATATCATATTTAGAATTAAACAGAAAAAATAAATATAATAGAGCTGGAGAAAAGAAACTTTCCATCTATCCCAAAAAAGTAGACACATCTAACCCGGTTAATAATAGTTAACACAGAATAACAGTATCCCCCATAAGCACCTTTAATGCTAAAGCACTGTTCAAAGTAAGGGCCTGATTCTTCACCTATGAAGTAAATCTACCAATTTCAATGGGTCCAGGACTGGGCTCTTAAATTAGTATGTACCATATTCAAAGGGATTCCATCATCCCTAACTAAAATGTGGCCATCTCTGAAGGAAAATGTGCTATTTGTTTTACAAGTCAGAAAAAAGTCTTCACAACAGTTTAGATGGGAAATTAAGGGGAAAATATCTTCTAAGGTTTAGAAAAGTAACATGCAACTGATTTTGTGTGAGCTTTGTACATTAAGCCCTCCCCCCAGAACTAAATCAACATACAAATCCCCCCACCCCCAATCGTTTTCCCTCTCCCATAAAACATTCAGAGCTTTGCAAAAAGGTATAAATTTGAAACAAGGTTACTCACCGTGGAAGAGTCACCGCTTCCGTTCCCAAGCGTAGCTCCCTCAGCACAGGTGGGTAGGTGGGTAGAAAGTTGACTAGCCCTGCCCCCATCTATGACATCACATTCTACCTCATAAAAGGTAGTGAAAGTGCTCTGAACTCCAGTCTGATTTCCAAGAGATACAGAAAAGAGAGAGTGAGAGAGAGAGCAAGAGAAATATTGTACCCTAGTGCAGAGGGGAGAAGAGGAGAAAAATGTGTGCTGAAGGAGCTATGCTTGGTAAAGGAAACAGGGACTCTTCCATGGTGAGTAACCCCACTGTGTGATTCCTCTTACTTGCTCCCTTAGCACAGGCAAGAAAAGTATTGAACAATCTACTAAGAGGGGAAGCGTGAGCTATGGTGCTACATGATGAATACCAGAAGGGACAGGAATTGCTAGCCTGTTAAAGGCTGATTGCATGAGAACGGGTTAGGGGAATTTGGCAGAGGAGTTAAAAGTAACATTTTTGTATATTTGTTAAACATTTTAAACATTGGAAATGCACATGTAAGCAGCTAGAATTCCACTGATTTCAGTGTGAGTTACCTCCGTATATACGCTCGGGTTGAATTTGGTCCATACACAAGTCCGAGGAGAGTTTTAGCCAACTGTCTTAGCGAAATCACATTAGAGGGCTAGGCACTAGTGTTTAAGGAAGTCCAAATATTGTGGCCATACAGAGTCAACTTTTTCTCACCCTGCCTGACTGTGCTGAGGGAGCAAGTGAGGGGAATGGTAAAATTCTGGGCAAACATTTATTTTACAAAGCACACTTTAAAGTTCCATAAAATATCAGCAAAATGTGCATCCTCTGCTGTGTTTGTGTTGGCTTTGCTTTCCCTCCTCTTCTACTTCCGCAAAAGGAGATCTATTTGATTCATGGCTACTACCAATCACTTCATCTAATGAAAGAAATTAAGGATATTTCTTCTTTACCTGGACAGCTTTTTCTACAGTGCATATTTTGAAATGCAACAGCATAGCAGTATATTTGTAATTTTTAAAATTCAAAACACAAATTAGAGAGAGAGAGAGAGAGAGAGAGAGAGAGAGAGAGAGAACAATCTTACAATCTTGATCAGTTCCTCCAGAATCCTTGTTCTACCTATTTTAAGCAAGAGCTACTATAACTGTTAGAGGCGAAGTATGAGTTCAGGAACCCAATGCAAAACTAGGCTGTGTCTGAATGATTCAAAGTGATGGTGGGTGCTGTAAATTTAGGTTTATAATTGAATTAAATTATAACTGATTCTTGGTTACCTGATAATGTCATTAAGCTATGACAGTGTTCAAAGAGGGGAAAAATAACTTTTCTGCCTAGAAATGGAACTGGATTGAGCTATGTTCATTCAACCTTATGATCTGCTGCTAAAGGCTTTCTACATTTTGGTGAATTTTCAATCAATTGGTGGAGACTTTAGCATTAGCTTTGCTAATCAACAAGGGGTATTACTAATCTGTCAAATGGTCAGTGATAATTTTAAAGGCCTTTGTGGGAAAAGGTAATTGCAGTTATCCAATCAGCTTCCAGCCCCACAGGAATAAGGATCCTTGATCTTGACCAATACAGGATTGTTGTTCCTGCCAAATGAAGGAGGAACTTAATCTAAGCTTTTCAGCAGATGCTGGAACTTCTGAGGCCCACACAAATAGTAGTTGGAACTGTAAGGCTGGATTTTGTGTGTAGGTGCAAATTGGCATTTAGGTAAATATTAGCCTCAGATGGAAATGCCAGAGCAGAAAATCTTTTGAGGTATGGTGATGGCCAAATACATTTTCCACTAATAACCTCAGATCCCTAAATACCTAGATAAATTACAGTTGATGACAAACTATTAGAAAGAGGGAGCGGGCATTATTGGTTTACCCTGAAGAGGCCAAATCTGGTGTACTGCTTTGGGTCACTCAATATCAGAAAGTCTGGTTGAGAAAGAAGAAGAAATTCAGAGAAGAGTACAACAATGATGAGGGCTTTGAGGAATTGATTTAGGAGGCTATACATAAAACTTGATTAAATGGTGAACTACGGAAGAGCTATTCCAATGAACTACAAACAATCACAGGGCACTATATTTCACAAGAGAGAGAAATTGAGGTGTTCCAAAGACCTATAACTATGAGTAACTGGATAAACATTTGCAAAGTTTAATATGAAGAGGAACTAGATAAGGATTTATAGGCTGTCAAAACATTTCCAAAGGAAAGTGACTGCAGCTCTGTAGCTTAATAAGGCTATAAACTTCATTCAATTAATACTTGGACATCTTGCACCTACTTGTCAAACAGCCAGGAAATAGATTTCTCCAAGTTTGGTTTCACAATGATCTGCCAGATAAAACAACAACAAACTTCCTTAATAGAAATTTGGCAGAAGGTAATACATGAATAGGCTCTATTAAGGCACTGGAGGATACTACTGATATAAAGTTTGAATGCTTTTCTTCAAAATTTATGAAAGGCTAAGGAACATGTTGATTCCATAGATATTCTACTGTTCCAGCTAAGGAAGGTAAACAGATATTCAGTGAGAAACCCAAATGGAAAGCTGGAAGAAAAGATCATATTCAAGGCAAGTCAAAGTGCCAGGTTGATACGGGTCATTAAAGGTCCAGACCTAAATCTTACCCTCACGTTCGCTCCAAAAATTCTGTTTTGCTGTTGTAGCTGATGAATGGATAATGAAATCCATCTCATTCATCATGCATCCTATCTGAGGAATGGGCAAACAGGTAGTATGTAACACAGATTAGAACATGCAAATCCTGAAAGTGTTGAGAACTGGCAGGTTATATGTTAAATTTAGTTATTGGTATGATCTCTTACCTCAGGGTTGGATGCAGTCAAAGTATCTTTCCCAGAATAGCCTAAAGATCAAATCGGTACTTTAATGAGAGCAGGGCAAATGGTTTGAATTTGTTGTCGCATTTTCCTATTCTGTAAAATTGGGGTACTACCCTTTATCCAGCTCACAGAGTGTTCTGATGATCAATAAATTCTCACGTTCAACAGTTACTGTTGAAAATGTCCAACAGTACATGGTTCTAGGAATTATCATTTTTGGAGTATTTTAGTATGATTGGCCCCATGTCTGTGTCTTAAATCAATAAATATTGGCTTCACGTAGAGAAAGTTGGTTGTAATTCAAGACTAATGGTGTGATGTGGAGGATAGACATATGTTTTCCTTTCTCCTGAGAAATTCATGAATAAAAGGAGCCAGATTGCATCTGATGAATGAAAGAAATGGCTTAAGAAGTACGATACATAAGAGACTCTGAACTTTCCTCGTGCAAAATCTTGATTTGCTTCTTTTTAGTTCCAAAAGTTATTGCTATAGTTTGTGTGATGGAATTAAGTTTCCCTTGTGAGTATTATTGAGTGTTTTATATGCTGCTGGAAGTATTTGCACTCAGTATTTGCGATTAGTTGGGAAAACTGTGTGAAGTTTTTCCTTGAGGGTATGTCATTTTGTGTGTGTGTCTGTTATTCATCT